TTCTCTCTCTCCCTCTCTCTCTCGCTCTCTTTCCATGTCTTTCTCTCGTTTGAACGACGATACCATAGCGCTGTTCGGTCAATGAGAGTAGCCTACATTCGTCGTGTGATCTTTTCCTCGCGCATGGGCAACGCACACAAGGGAGGGCGAAAGGGGGGGAGGACCGGAACCATAAGCCCTCGCTTCCACCTTCACGTACACATGTATACGAAGAGAGCCAGGCACCATCCTTCCTTCTCTCTCTCTCTCTCTCTCTCTCTCTCTCTCTCTCTCTCTCTCTCCCGTTCTTCTCTTTACTTCTCAGATGATAGAGGACAAGTCCTACTCCATCCTTGTCGGACCGATAGGATGCTGCCAGGCTTTCTTCGTATACAGTCGGGGCCCAGGATCAGAGTAGTAGGTTGTACAGGTATGCATGCGGTGGGTTGGCCGGGGGCATTCCTGCGGCGTTGCCGCGTCTCTTACTCACCGTGCCCTGAAAGAGTGAGAGAGAGAGAGAGAGAGAGAGAGAGAGAGAGAGAGAGGAGAGGTAACAGCCGGGAGAGAAAGAAGGAATGAGAAAGGATGAGAGAAGGAGCCGAAGGAGGAAGGAGTAGAAGCGACGAGCTGGGCTCTCGCACGGCCACGAACGCAGCTCGAACGAGTCTTTCTGCCTTTTCGCGGAGGTAATCGAGTTTGCACGGGAAGAGGACTGCCTCTCTCGCGAGACCCGTTCCTGGCTACCGCCCGTCACCGCCGCTCCTTGCTCTCGATATCCCGATGTCGCTCCTGCACCGGGGAATCGCTAACTTCTTCACTACTGTCAAAGAGGAAAACTCACTCCGTCTCCCTATATTCCTGCAAAACGCATGAGACACTGCGAAAGAACATTGGAAACTTACACGTTATATGATGAGAGATGTAATGAAAAAGATCGCTCATACCGAGATTAGTTAAAATTTAATCAATCTCCTGAGGAGTTCACCAAGAAGAACAGCGTCGAGATAGCGATTAATGTATTTATGGTAAAGGAATCAGCGGAGAAATTAACGAGGAATGAAATGCGGGAGAGAAGAACGGAAAGAAACTTTTTCATCTATCGCAATTTCGATCTCCACTTCTGATTTCGCATCGGTTCTCGGCTAATGTCCGCTAATGTGTAATGAAATCGAATGAAAGTAAGTTTTCGAGTCTTGGAGTTGGAGTTTCGCCGGCTCTCTCGGCGATTGTATCGTCGGCGAGCAAAACGATGGACTCGCGTCTGCAGTAAATGAATTCGGAACACGAGTGGACGGTAGTAACGAACATGATACGTAGCGTTCGTGGGCCTTGCTTCGAGAAAGTAATTGAGTTTCGACTGCCGTATTACAGAACTGGGTTCATCTAAAATCATCGAAAGAACTCGATCGACTGCACGAAAAGGCACGGCTAAACTATATATAATTGAGAGGTTATTAGCAATTTAAGATAACTCTAATTTCATAGTTCATTTCTTATTTCAAGATCTTAAGTAATGTCTTAAGAAGCTAATACAGTTCTCTAATTAGTTCATGACATCTTAAGATTGTACTTAAAGCAGATTTAAATATAAAAATCAATCATAAACTGACTAAATCATACTGACCTAAAAATTTTTGTGAGTCATAAAGTATATACTTCTATTATTTCGTTTAAACGTAGATTTTAAGTGTTTTTAATTTTTAGGAAATGGACAGAGGAAGTGTGCATTCAAGACTTCACACAGTAAGCAGTTTAGCAATTTGGTCTCGCAAAATGTCATGCGTCGATGAAAAATTTTAAGTTCCGATAATTCGCGAGCTCTCGAAGCAAATGATATTCTCGAAGTAACGGTGCTGCGCACATGCTTATAAAGTTCGGGAACTAAGGTAATGATCGCGCAAGTGCGATCGAAGGATAAAGTTCACGAATGTTAACAGCAGCGGTGACGGCGATGGCGAAAGAGAAGAGCAGCGGGAAGCGTAAAGATATCGTGGGGGTAAGGATAACGAGAACCTCGCGTTTCGTGCGAGTCGAGGGAAACGAAGTTAGCCGCCTCCATCGGCAGACACGGTCCACTGGGAACGGATCCTTGGTAAGTTCCATTAAACGCGTTATGTACCGGGAGGGGGAGAAGAACTCCCGAGGAGCAGCCAGAGAAACTTGCCGCGGCTATGTCCGCGGTGACCGCGATCGCGCAGAATGTAATTTAAAGATCTCGAAACTGAAACAACCGAAATTTGCCAAGAACAAGAAATACGCGAATGGAGGGGAGAGGATCTTGATTATTATCTAGTCAAACAGATGGCTACTTACAACCCAAGATATTCTCTAAATTTGAATCAGTGAAATTCAACAATAGAAAAGGAAAGGAAGTTTGTGTAGTATAATTAAAACATCAATATTGGCACATTTCAATACTATATACATTGAATTTATATACTGAAATAAGATTAGCTAGATGAGATTACATTGATTAAATTACATTGATTAACTTCACTATGAATTCACTAATTACCAGTGATATAATTGGGACTAATGTGATTATCCACTGAGTCAGATTTAAAACATATATAAATTGATACAAATTATATTTTATGTAATATAAGAAGAAATTAAATCTTTTTTTCTCCTATAATCATCAAAAATATGTAATAAATATTAGGAGGAAAGAGGGAGAGGACTAATTCAATGTGAGAAGCTTTATTATTCCATTTTCCACTAATTTCTAGTGTTTAAATTCCCCGCCCGTAATCGGAGGGTTTCAACCGCTCGTGTGCATTTTATTTTACATAAATGCTCCAAAACCACACTGTATAAAATAAGGCGGGGCGCCGCGAGTTTGCTGGTCGAGTTCGTGAAGGCGTCTCTACGTCTCGAGCCGCGCTGACCGTCCCCAAAAGCGCGACGAAACGATCCCCTTTTAATCCTTGAACGCTAACTACCGGCACCTCGGATGATCTTGCAATTCGGAAGATTGGTCCGCATTACGAAATTATCGTTATTCCCCACTATGAAAGGAGAGAATGAGAGAGACCGCGGAGAGGGCGAGCCATCGAGATGCCCGAGGCGCCAAGCTTTTTTTCAGTTAAAATATGGAAAACGTTCCGGTTAGCCCGTGTGGATGATCTTCAGAAACGCATAATGGGACTGGAAGGCCAATCTTGGCTCCGTTAAATCACGTTCGCAACGATCGGGACGAGGGCAGTGCACACAGAAGAATCCTTTATCCGAGCAAACAACATCCACCGCCTCGAGACACTGACTTGGTACTCGTAAGAAGGAAAAAAAGGGAGGAGTGAAGAAAAAGAAAATTAAAAATGCGTTACCGTGAATCTCAATGCGAGGAATTATATCGTGATTAAGGACAGAAGAGAAACAAAGAACTTAATTAATGTAAGTGGATCTAAAATTTCTTCCCCTCGATTTCATCTGAATGTACTTAGAATAGAATAAAATGAATTCGAGAGGAATATAAGAATAAGAGGTCGTCAGATTATAAAAGAACAATTTTGATGAAGTACCTAAAGATTTAGCTATCAAAAGAATTATGTAGAACGTTCAAAAACTGGTTGCCAGAATATCAAAAGTTTTTGCAGCATTGCTTGAGATTCCTACGTAATTATTTTGATGATTTCAACGAAATTATTTTCAGATCTGCATCTAATTTCTTTAGATACTTTAGCAAAATCGTTCTTTCATAAAGAATATTAAACACACATAAAAGTTTCGCTAATATAAAAACAATCTCTTCAATCCTTATGCTACAGCGTATATATCAATATTAAAAGAGATGTTAAATAAGACCTAGAGACTTTTCTCTCACGAGACTGCAAAGAGAGGAAAAAAAAAGAAGCAGGAGAATTATATAAAATAACGATCTAATATGAGTTACAGTAGATGAGGAACTCATAGTTGCCACGTGATCGGTCGCTAGGATAGACGTATATAAGTATAGCGGCGCGTACGCAATTAGTGTCGTGGCAATTTGGTCCTTCTCTCTCTCTCTCTCTCTCTCTCTCTCTCTCTCTCTCTCTCTCTCTCTCTCTCTCTCTCTCTCTTCCTTTCGTATTCAGCGTCTCCGTGTAATAAATCACGCAGCCGCCGTGCCGTGCCGCGAAATTACGACCGGAGCGTCAGGAAACGTCGACTTGATGCGAACTAACGTGTCTCTTACGTTCGCTTCTCCCGTTAGTCGAAAGAAGGACCAATGTTTCAGATCAGGACAAAGAAGTGTTTGTGAAGTTAATACGACGTCTTACAAATTTTCAAAAAAACAATAATAGTTCTTTTCGTTTCTTTATTTTATGATTTTAAAAATGCGATTTTTTTTTATCTTGATAAGAAACTCTAGAATTGTGAAATGTGTGCTATTGGAACTGTCATCATTTTTGTATTAATAGAATAGTGCGCAAACTTCATAATCTAAACGAAAGAGATATAAAATGACTATTATTATAGTCGTACTAAGATTTTTTCCGCAATTAATTAATTCATATTAATTTCAGTAATATCACGTTACAATTATTTTTACAACTTTAATTTACTTTAAACAAAGTTGTTATCGCGGATAATTGAGGATACTTTACACCAAATTGTTTCTCCTAACAAAAGGCAACGATCGACGAGATCAAAAAGTATTTTAATTTCCAGATTAAAAGAGGTAGCTTTAGTAGACGCGAAGATAATTAAGTTATCCGCGATTCGAGTTGACGATAAACGATCATCGAAGAACTCCGCCTTCTCGAGACAATCGACGGATCGGTCGATCATGTGGCAACAGCAGTGCGAGCGGTTAACTAACTGCTTTGGATCCTACCTAATCTGATAGCCGATACATCTGGCTAAGTATACATCCGAGAGTGGCAATCGGACGCGATGTATCGCGACCTGAGGTGTCGCTGCAGACTATCATCTCGGCTTGATTAGCTCTACGTAGGTAGGTATAGGCAGAAGAAGATAATGAAGAAGAGAATAGAGAACCGAACGAACACGAATGAGTGGATGGACGAACGAGCGCTTACCTTGTTCCGCCTGGGTCCCTCGCGGGCAGATTAGTAACAGCAGCAACGGCAGAAGGTGGGCAGCGGAAGCAGCAACGGCGGCGCAGGTGGCTAGGAGGCCTGCTACGCCCGCCATATTGAAGGGGGCCATTCTTATCGCCGTGTGGGCCCCACTGCTGCCGCGGTGGACGGCCGCCGGTCCTCTCACGATCCGTGCGAGAGGATGCAGCACACCGGCCAGCGTCGTCACTCTCGCCTCCTCATACCTCCCCTTGCGCTTTGCGTCGCGTCGTCTTGCGCGTCACGGCAGCCACTGATTGCCACCGCCGGATTCCTCCACCCTCTTCGTCGGCACTACCACCTCCGCCTTCCTCACCGGCCACTACTTTCCCTGCCCGCTTATGCTCCAGCTTATCGCTCCGACGGCCGCTTTTATTTACCTTTAGAATTCTTCCAACGAACTGATGACACAGTAATAACAATCACGCGTTCTTCGATATTTCTTGTCTCAAAAAGGAGACTGTGTGATAATGTTATGAATGTATAATATTGCCCAATAGTTTATATCACAGAACTATCGTCTTGCTTCATCCATAGTGCGTAGCTTCTTTTAATAGTAAACGGGGATCGATATTTTTTGTTTGTTTTACATGGTGATACGATGTTTTACGGCTCTACTACTGGATTTTACTGATGGCTGCATCTGAAAGAAATAAAGATAATTCATGTTAATTAAAATATAAAAGTACTATTTTTTCTATTTTTCTATTCTTTTTTATTATTTGTTTTTATTATTTTTCCTTTACTTCCAAGGCCATCGTATATGTAGACAAGCAACATTCATCGTTTCTATCTCATATGAATAAAAAAGCAAAACCAAATTGGTTTGTTTTTTTCTAATAATCTTCTAATGGCACCTTTAAAAGGCTTCATGTCATTTTCGTACTTCTCGTTGAGAAAGATATTGCTTTATCTACGATGTTGCTGATCTATGCAAATATTTTCATTTTTTTTTTAATATATTGATATTGCAAATTAAATAAGGCATTGCAATTCTTAATATCATATATAGAAAATATATGATAATCCGTGTAATAATAAAATGACATTAAATATAGTACTAAATGTTAATGTAATAAAAAAGTCTAAGAAATGAGTCGCACATCATTCCTATCCGCATTGTTCCCCTAAAAATGCTAACCTTTGATTACTTATCTATAAATCCGATTCACATTGATGTTTAAGAAGAAGATATTCATTTCATCTTTGTTATTTATGAAATGTTAAACAATGATACTCACGAGCGTTGTAAGCATAAATCGACCTGCAGCCTAGGTCTGACAAACTGGCGAGAAAAATGTGTCACATATGTATAAGAGAAAGAAAGTAAACCGGATGACATATCTCGAGTTCAAGGTTAACTCACATTTGTGAAGGGTTTCAATGACACCGACCGGAATTCATTATTCTCTAACGGCCAATTATCGTGGAAAAGAAAATAGTGCTAGTAAGGAGAGAGTATAAAAACAGCGAGGGGATAAAAGAAATAGGAAAAGGGACGAAAGCCCCGTACAAAACTTTGGGGTTCATCACGATAGTGGAAGGGTGCCGGGATAAGGCGAGACGGGAGAGCAAGGGGTTCCAGGATCAATACCATGCGTTTATCCATCTCCCTCTCGCTTCCTCCATCTTCGATCTCCGTCCTTCTCTCACGCTCGTAGAGAACGCAACACGATAGGAAGAGAGAAACAGAAAGGGAGGAGAGAGAGAGAGAGAGAGAGAGAGAGAGAGAGAGAGAGGAGAGGGGGCGCGAAGCATCGACCATCCCTTTTCGACTAACTGCGTCGTTTGCTTTCGCTTTGGTAGGCTCTAGGGTCTGGCCGGCGTCTCGCCATTCTTCGACAAAACGAGAGAAACAAGACAGAGGAGGAAAGACAGAGGGTGCCGCGTGCAAGGAAGCGCGGGCGCGAAGATCGAAGTAGGAACGCAATTTTAGAGTGCCGAAATATAAAGGGGTGAAAGAGAGCGAGTGCATGTCAAACAAGTGTATAAAAGAAAGATAGGAAGAAGAAAGAAATGAGGAGGGAGGATGATAAAAGAGAGACAGAACGAGGGAGTTAGAAAGAGAAAGAGAGTGGCAGTAGGTATATACGCTTTAGTTCTTCTAAAGCGGGCAAAGACCTTCTCTCACTTTTTCCCCTTCTCTCCGACTCTAGTCAGGTCAGCCAAGATGCATCCGCAAAATTGCAGACTTCAGTGAAACGTCGCCGCCGCTGTTGTTACTCGGCTCCGCTCAACTCAACTCAGCTTGGTGAACAGCGCCTCCTAGCTCGGCTACCAACCAGCTACTGCAGGTATCACTCGTTTTCTGCAGTTGCCATTGCCCAAGTGATCTTGTCAAAAATTTAAGATGTCCTTCTTCTATCCGAGTATGCCGCTCTTCGAGTCTCCTCCATCGTCCTTTCTATTCCGCTACTTCCAACTTGAAAACGACTTCCTCTTCGAAACGACAGACATTCGTAGTGCTTCTTTTCATTCAGCCTTCTCTTTCATTTTTTTTTATAAGATTCGCTAGAGAATTGCCGAAAACAACGCCTGCTCGTCTCAAGAGAAAGCACGAAAAAAAGAAAGATTGAAAGGCAATGGAAGAGAAAAAAAAAAGGATGTCTGCCATAGGCGAGTACCTTTGAGACGCAGCTATTTTCTATTTTTTTTCTCCTTGTTCGATCCCCGCGCGTCTCGTTACTTTTTCCTTCCTCCAAAAAGTAGACGTAAACACGACGGGGAATTCATTCTGTCTCTCCCGTGGATCGTTCACTAGGTAGGTGGTTGGCCACTTCCTTCAATGAGCGAAGGCCTCTCTTTCTTCTTCTTTGTCTCTCTTCATCTCGCGTCCTCTTTCAGACCAGACCTCTTTCCGTATACTCACTACCCAGGTAGGTATGCCAAATTGCAAATTTCGGGAGGCGGTGGAGTGGCTCGTGAAAATTTTAAGCCTTGCCTCTATGCGATGCTGCGTCTCTTCCAACGAGTTTCACGTCGAGTCGAGTCGCGACACTTGGATCGACGCAAACCCACAAAAAGAGGAAGGTAGAAGAGGGAGAGACACAACCGAGAGTGCGCCTCTGATACATATATATACTATATACAATGCCTCTCTTCGGCTTGCGGGAATATCTTCAAGTGCACTTGCTTTCTTTCAAGGTGAAAACCTCCCTCTCTCCCCTCCAGTTTCGTGACGTCGCGTTCGTGTTCCCCTCATTCGTTACGAACCTTCCGACCACTCTTCGCACCCAACCCTCGCGGAAAACTTTCGCCAATGTAGCTTAGCTTGGACGTTTTTATCCAGATTAAGATGCTTCTCGTCGTTGCTGTTTCACGGAGTTTATTTCGAACAAGTTTGTTATCCGAACGAAAGTCTGTCGGTATCTTCGAAACATGATGAATGGCATTTTGATCGTTACGATGTTACAAGGAAGGTAAAGATATATCACACATAACGGAAGCCTATCACTTAATTCATGCCACTCAATCTTATAGAATTATACGCTTGGTCTAACGGATTTTTTAGATCTAAGACACCGCATTCCAGGAAATTTTTCATTTCGTCAATCATTTTTATATAAAATGTAAATAATAAAAGAAAAAAAATCGGATTTTCAAGACTTGTACGAGAATGATAATTAACGTATCATTATAATTTTATTTTTAATCAATGATAATGGAAATATATATTTTTATTTCCTACGAAAAAAATTCTTTTTATCTCTCCCAGCATTTTTTCGCTATTCAGAGAGAGAGAGAGAGAGAGAGAGAGAGAGAGAGAGAGAGAGAGAGAGCATTAAAATAATCTCGCGTAGAGCCACGTGCGAGTTCTCGCTCATCTTCTTTCTCCTCTTCTTGTTCTTCACCTTTCGGCGACTCGGCAAGCCCTCGCTTTCGCTCTTCTTGTTTCTAGCGTTTCGTCGGACTTTCCTCGCACCACCGCCGGCGCACCCGTGACCGCCCCGGGACAAATTCTATTTCCGGTTGAATTTAAGACCCCCCGGAATACACGGATTTATTTCACCGACGTGCCGCGTGCAGCGGGGAGGGATGAGGAGAGGAGAGGAGAGGAGAGGAGCGGCGCGGTTTTACTCCGGATCCGACGAGACTCGTAAATGTAACAAAGAAAAGATGTATACTTCGGAGACGAGAGAAACAACGCAGACACGAACGCAGGGCGAAGAGTGGAGGAGGCTTGCGAAGGGCGTAGGAGAAAGAGTAGATTCCTCGAAATTATTATACCTTGGACGATCGCCACTCTCAGAGCGATCTGGGCGCTATTATTTTTCCAAAACTACGTCTTCTACCTCGAACCCAATCTCTTCTCTTTTTTTTTTAAATTCTTTTTCTTCCTCTAGCCGACATTTACGATAGTAACGATCGTCCGGTTAACGAGTGACGGATAGACGCAAGAAGCGAGACAACTTCCATTCTTGATAAATGAGAGAACATCGTCGTTAAGGCATCCATCGCGTGATCGGGTCTACTTTTTAGAATCTCCATCCACGATCCTATTCAAGATTTTATTGCGATGTGTTTGTAACGATAAGAATTTCAAAATTCTTTGAGACATTATGTCATCTCTTTTTCTTTTATATCCTTTGAATCTTCCATGTGTTTGTTTCAGTTCTATTATTTGTTTCAGTTTCTTTGATTTATACCGTTTGTATACTTACGTTTAGAATTTCAGTTTACGTTGACGATAAATAAGAAAAAAAAAGATTGAGAAACGTAAAGAAGAATAGAAAAGAAAAGATTTCTTTAACATTACCGGATTTCCCTCTTTTCATAATTAAAACTCATAATACCAGTCTGCCAAGCGCTGCTTGCAATTACCGCGTAATGAACCTTAATCAGTTTTCTTTTGTTACGAAACTATTCCGCCGCGTGTTAAATATGCAAGTGAGGAAAAAAAATGAAAGAATGCGATTTAACTGCTGTTATTCGCTGCAAGCTTGTAAATTTCATTCGTGTTCGCTTTATATAATTAGCCACAGCATTGCACAAATTAAATGCTAAACATAAAGAGCGGCTAGATTTGTAAGAGCGAACGCAAACAAATCCGCGGTATCGATACACAAAACCACGGGAATTTCGCAACTAACCTGGCCGTTTGTGCCAGTGAAAGTGAGCCATACGAGCTCCCGTAATACAGTATCGAGCAAGACCATAGTCCAACTGTGAAATGCGAAATGTGTGTTCAATTCTCATTCATGTTTAATTAAGATTTTGCGCATTGACCACACCACGCGCACCGTCATATTGCTGTCACGTCAATTGGGTTCAGTTACTCGATCGGACATGGCTTGTGTGGAGATTCAGTCGGATCGCTCGGCGTCGATGTGATTGGTAAACCTTACTGGTCCCTTGTACATGCGATATGTGTACTTGTTTAACAGACAAAGTATCCGCCGATCAGATTCAGATCGTTCGACTGCATGAAATAACTGAAATACAAAGAGTATACGCGCGCGTGTTGAAGATTCGCATAATCCATAAATAATCTTCGTGATCGACGCACTAAGAGATTATCTAAACGGAACATCCGTATAAAGGAAATTGACGTTTACGCGCCTGAAATATGAGAAATAAAACTTGCCACATATTTACTAGCATTCCACTGTAATCAATGGCGTTGGCAACGTAGATTATTTTCTG